AATGCAAAAAAATACCACATGAAGAGCTCGCTAGCGGGCCAGTGCGCACAATGATTCTAGTGCTCCCTGATGTCCCGCGTACGAACGACCATAGCATTTGCCCGATTGTGCTGTCTCCACGGAGCCGCAACGATGGTGGTGGAATTGCGATGAACACGTTTCGCTATCGGCCACAAAAGTGATAAGCACTGTGACTGCTTACCACTGTTACGAACCGGTGCGAAGGAAGCGTATCGCACGCGGAACGGCACCGGAATCACGGCGCGTGTATGCGCGCGCCAGTGGGTTTATCACGTGGTACTTTTTTTGGGGGCGAAGCTCCTTAGGGCGTGGGCTGTGCGTCCCCTGTATGTAGCCACCTCTAGTTTAGTTCTTGCAGTGTTCACTAGATGGCGGTACCGTCCCCTGTATGTAGCCACCTCTAGTTTAGTTCTTGCAGTGTTCACTAGATGGCGGTACCGTCTCCTGTATGTAGCCACCTCTCGTTTAGTTCTTGTAGTGTTTACTAGATGGTGGTACTTGTAGCTGATGATGAAAAGATGCAAGATGTTATAAACTAGAAAGCGGTACTTGTAGTTGATGAAAGACGCGAGATCTTATAAAATAGGAATGATGTCACATATGGCGCGTGTCATTGGTTGAAGGCAATCGTTCGATTTAGTGCGGCGACGTACGCTAGGGGGAGCGATGTAATAAAATCGAGTGGGCAAAATGTACAGAGGATTCATGGTTTACCAGGTTTACCTCCGGAGCTTTGCCCACTCATCATCATTCACTTCGTGGATATGGCGGCACTTTTTTTGTATTTTGCGGACATGTCTAGTTTGCAGAAAACCACTAATAATTAACAGATACAAAGTTCGAAACTGTCTAATCAGGCGTTTCGCAAACAAACCTAAAAGTTTTTCATTGAAATTTTTGACCCATCTTTGTTGTTTGAGAAGTTAGTTAGTTAAAAGGGTTTAATTAAACAATTGATCAAAAAGTAGTCCGAATCACTCGAGACATTGGTCAGCAACATGCATTTGGTGGTGTCGTAATTGTGCGTGTTGGTATATTTTATATTTTTAAACTCAGGCTAAATAGAACTAAAACTATATATATATATATATATATATATATATATATATATATATATATATATATATATATATATATATATATATATATATATATATATATATATGTATATATATATACACAGATAGCACATAAGAAAATGATCGTATTTACTAACGTTTCGGCCGTGGCACGGCCTTCGTCAGAGTAAGTGTATATATATATATATATATATACTTACTCTGACGTAAGTGTATATATATATATATATATATATATATATATATATATATATATATATATATATATATATATATATATATATATATATATATAATTTGACATCGTCGAGAGCACTGTGCATAAGTATAGGTTTGATTTAGAATAGGCATGCATGGGCACTTGTGTCCGGTTGAGCGGTCACCTATTTCTCGAAAAATGCGCGCTTCAAGCAGAAAGAAATTCAATTCAGTTCGAAGATTGGTTTCCTTTACAGGCAGCATTCAACGTCTCTTTGAAATCACGCCCAGCAAGCGAATATTGATTCCAGAGAAGCGCCAACGTTCCGAATATATAGTAGCGGAAGGGTTAACAATACGGGCTGAACTGTTTCTTATATAGAAAACGTATGATCGTGTTTCGGTGCTAAGGAAACCAGAGAATTGCTTGGCTTCAATACATCTTTTTTTTTTCTCTCTCACAATGACAAGTAGTTTTCAGTCTCATTCATAGAAGACTGTGATAGGTGTAGTGATATACCTATCACAGTCTGCCAGTGTGTACATCGTCGGTGCGTCTTTGCAAAATGGATTTTCGCATAGGTTTCAGACATATCAATGAAAGAGTAATCGCACTGCGCTTGTGCTCTATGTAGCGGAATTTGCGGAATGACTATAACGTTATCTTATCAGCTCCTGTAATGTCCCTGACAACCCAGGTTTCATCGAAACCTATAAGACCAAGTGTCCTATTGTAAGAATGCCATCCTAGTCTGTGTTATATAATTATGAAGACAACGCGCTCTTTGGCCAGAGCACTTGTATCTGTATTGTCGACGGTTTCAGTAATTGTCGTGCGGAACCCGTCTGAAGAAACCAGCTCCAACTGTTTTCGATTTAGCTTTTGAATAATTAATGTCCAAATGAATTCATATCCTCCGTTTACATACCCAATAAGAAAAAAAAACACAGGGGAGAGGTGATCTTTCTGATGGCAGGTTTCTTTCTTTTCCCCAGAATTTTAATCAAGTACTGTTAAACGGGCACAGCGTCGACATAACGTTAATTACCGGCTACGATTAACACAGGTCAAGAGGAGCAATTATGACCACCACATGCTTGGAGGCTTGTTTAGATTTTGAGTGAAATAACTCTATTATATATGCATTGCGATGCGAAGCAGGTCATGGTACTTCAGAGAAAAAAAATTAACTTAGAAGTTCCAAGAGCAAAGATATCACAAAATTAACTTTTGAAGAAATAAACATCAAGTCGCATTAACTTACTTCGATGGTCCTAGACAAAACAAAATAATCATCTTTGTAACAGCAACTTTTTTTTAGATGGCACGCTAAACTGTGTCTTCATAAATCACGTCGCGAAGAAACATACAGTATTTGTGCTTAAAGAACTCCCACAGCTTACACTAAAAATAATGCCCGGAAATAATTTAGCAAAGTGTGGGATTGGGCTAGTTGGTAATCCATATAAAACTTCTAGGCGCGTAAAACTTCAGACAGCTAACATAAGAGACAAGGACGAGCGCAGTTAAAAAATAATTTAGCGCCATTTTCTTTCAAGCTGTAATATGTCAAGATATGTTATGGACCTCAACGGCCTGTGGTACTCTCAAAATAATGTTGGGTTGTGAAGATCCTAACGTACGTCACTTGTACTTTAATGGTTGAAGGAGGAGGCCTGCAGGGGGAGGGGAAAATGTGTTATTTCTCTTATGACTCAAATTTATTCACCACGCGTACACTATGGGTGATGTACATAATGTGCATGAAGTGGTAGCATTGTGAAAGCTCGAGCGGCTTCTCTTCTCCACGAAATGCGAGAGCAGAAACAGGCAAATAGTGAATATAACATATGCACGTTACAAGAAACCACGTACAACAAGGGGGGGGGGGAGATGTCCTATAAGGGACGATGGCGAAATCACGAGAAAAACAAAGCTCTTATAAAAACTCAATAATAAAGGCATTTAGCAATGCTTTTCCGGCTATCTTGAGCAGGGTATCATAGGTTAAATTGTATTTACGGTGACTGAAACACAGTAAGACAATGCTTGAAAGTTATAGTTTGCTCACTGGTGCTTCAAGAAGCCCAGGGCTCAACCCTGAGTTTTTTGAAAGACAGAGACAATCTCCTAACGTAGACAGAGACAGAGACAACCCCCCAACGTAAGAAGGAAGCTACTAAAAGAGGGGACCAGTACTAACACTGGATTGCCGCCTAAAGGAGGTCGGTGGGGATACCTCGAGAGTCGCAGCCTCCACGGAGCGACAGACGAGCTGGCATTGGTCTTCTGGCTCGGAGGCATGCACGCAGGAGGGGCTCCCCCGACTCTGGGCTGTTTGTGTTGTCCGTGTTGTGGTGCGTGCAAGTCAACACCATATGTATGAGTGTCTCTGGAGATGAACAATGATAACACTATCTGTTTCGAAAAACATTTAATGTATAAGAGGGGGTGTGGGAAGCGGCCCGTCTGTAGTTTACGCCATTGTACGGCCTTGCGCCTTTTCAGATTGTGGTGTGCTGGAGGGTATACGCATTTTCAGAGTCGGTAGTACTGGGGGATGTCCGTATAAGTAGTCAGTGGATAGCTCTATGGCATACTAATGTCAGGGAAAGCGGCGCGATAAACATTACACTCGGCCTGACAGCTAAGATTTCGGGTGAGTGTGTGCGTCTGGGCGTTTCCGTGGAGCGACTCGTGGGTTGGAGCCCAGAGGTCAGAGTACATTATCATCCCGTCTATAGGACGACGTGCACCAGTGCACTTCTAGAGACAAACCTCAAGGTGCAAGGCAATCCCATCCCTCGAACAGATCACATCAGGATTATGTGCCTACACCTACAGTAAAACGGCAGCAACATTATTTCGCTCCAGCGCATCGGCCAGTCAGTGGTGCAGATAGAACGCCATCACAAGCGAGTGTCCAACAAGCAACTAGGTATGCGAGTCTAACCTCCTGCGCCTCGTTCAAGCCTTCATGTGCTCTCGCATCACTTACTCTGCACATCACCTCGTCTCGCCCACGCCGAGAGCGAATGGCTAGACACGTCACTTCGCAAAGCATACATGATGGCCCTGGGTATTCCTATGTATCCAGCCGCTCATAAGCTTATGGTTCTCGGCATCGCCAACACCACGAGCGGGCGAGAGCAGAGGCTCTCGCTCACAGACGCTGGCCGAGCTATAGTACAGCAAGTTGGGATCTCACCAACAAGGGCGGCCTTATCTATGTGGACCTTACAGCGGAATAATGTCAGTATCTTTATCCCCCTTCCCAAGCGGACGCACACGGAACACCACGCAGGGAGACGGGCTGATCGTGCACGTCTATTCGAGAAACGCTTCAGTGGATGTCAGGACGTGACGTACCCGGACGACTCTTTCGACTCCTAGAAGCCAGCGATAGTAGTAGACCTCGCCCCGCGCTGTAGCTGGTACACAACATGCAGCATTGCAAACAGAAGCAGTCACCATGGCAAAAAAGGTTGCCATCATGCTCGCTCTAGCTGATCCGTTTACCGAAGTCGTGATCAGTGACTCTCAGCAGGTGATCCGCAACTATACGATATCGGCCGTGTCTCTCACCAGGCATTTCACACCCGAATTTCTGCCTCTCCGTCCTCTTCTACATTAGCAGCGAAACAAACTCGCTAATAAAGCGGCACCATGAGTCGGACAGGCATGCACTTTATTGCTGTTTCTCACGCGACGGCGACGACCACCGGTTTGACGTCCTCGTACTTGGCCATCTTGAGAAGCACGTGCTCCATAGAGACGTCACTCAAGATGACGTCGATCGCGCTGTCGCTTAGTTGCTGCTTCAGGTTGTGGGCGGTTACCACGGCGGTGCTCCACGGCATCTTCAACTCGGTGGAGTACTCCAGTGCCATTGACAGACGACCCATATACACCGAACCAGGAAATGCTGCCTGCACCTGCGCGTGGTAATACTTGACATTTGGTGACAATGATATACATAGCAAGCTGTTCTTGTTTCTGTTGTAGCAACGCAAGAAAAAAAATGACATTGGGGTTGACCTCATTCGGGCACCAATGACCGAGGTGGAAGAGCTTTCTAAGCCACACCTATTTCAAGGACTACAGAGTGGTCTCTCTCACACCTTCATTGTCCTTTCTACAAGCGCTATCTGGTCCTCGCCATTTATTTGCTAACAAAACACGTGGACTAAGAGCTGATGCTATCAGGATTTCGAGCTTTTTCACCACCCGCTTATCTCAGCATGCGTAGCCGAAAACAGCCAAATAAAAGCGACATCAGTTGACCGCGCTCGACAGTCCTGCTCGAGCCAAGGCAGAGCGGGCATGCGACTGCATAGAAAAACACTGTAGGAGAAAGCTTGCAGCCGATATAACATGGTGCGATCGAGAGCTTATTTTCTCATGCTGTCACGTTAAGGGGCTGCTGGTGTCACAAATTGTGTCGGCCGAAAAGACTGAAAACGCCAGGAGTAATCAAGGCAATCCCATCCCTTGAACAGATAGATCACACCAGGATTCTGTACCTTGTTACGAAGCCGAGGCGCCAACACGGTACCGAAGGTGCCTTCAGAGCGAACGCACTCGTCCAATTTCACTGATTCTTTAGGGGCCCATTGAGTGTGCTATATCTCGTCATATAGGTAATATATTTGTGGCTTTTCACAATGCACACTTGTGTCGCTAAAGAAAAAGAATATAGTAGAAGGTTCATTGTAACCGATGTAGCTACGTTATCAGCCTTTACCGACTCAAAGGACTCCTTAACAGGCCTCATTGCGAATTTTGATTGCTCGCTTAGAGGAGATGGGGCTACGGGGACTACGCGTCAGGTTTGCACTTCAGCCGGCAGTGACTGCCCACTGGCCACAGAACCGCAGCGCGTATGGAACCGCATGCTTTTTTGGGACACTTCTATTATGCAGTCGTGCGCGTAGCACACTCGCCGTGTCTTGCGCGGGACTACAGTATAGCACGCCTTCGCCACTTCAGGGCGAACAGTCTCCGTCGTGGTCGCTCTCCGGACAAACAAGCATGGATAAGAGGGCCATTCCAGCGATCCTTCTTAGATTTTATGCCCGAGTTGTACTAGTCCACGAATTCACGAGCCGTGACCTGTTGTCGAATGAGCGCTTGTGACGTAGAAACGTGCGCTTGGCACTTTTAATCACTCAATCAAACATAGCGCGCGGCTTCGTTTTACATTTCGTCCAAAGGGCGGATACGAGAGAAAATTGCGCAATGAACGCCCCAATGACGATGAAGCGAGAACGTGCTGCTCACTAGGTTCCGATTTTTGTCCCAGGCTTTCAGGGATCAAGAGTGGGTAGTATATACAATTCTTCGAATGCGACATCAGGCTGTGGTCCTGTGCATGGCCGCAATTATTGTCGAAAAAGCTGCGTAGCCGTAACATTGGATTTTAAACAACGATGGTACACGTCCAACTGAGCAAAGCTATGAGGCAGAATTCCTCCTTCACCCTGGCTCCCCCCCCCCCCCCTCTAAGCGCACGCCTATGTATTAACAAACCTGTGCGTGTATGGTGCTAATGATAGCGGTATTTTGGAACACCGATGGCTTCAGCTTGACGAGGATCATAGAGCCTTTGCAGTACCGCTTGCGGAGATCACCGATGCTGCCTAAGCACTGGAACTGGCCATTCAGCATAATGGCCATGCGGTCCGAGATGACCACGCAGTCCGACACACTTTGCGTCACAATCAAGATTGCCGACTTGACCAGCTGCTTCAAGATCTGTATGGAACGGTAGATCTTTCGCTTGGATATCGTGTCGAGTCCCGTGGCAGGATCATTCATGAGCACGACTGGAGGAAGGCCGACGATGGCTATGGCCACAGCAAGTTTGCGGCGAGTCACTGCGCTGTAGTTGAAAAGCAAGCAGGGATAAAAGGTATACGTCATTTTTATGAGTACTTACATAACGTAACCACGAGTGAATTCGCCCTGAGGACGGGCAGATATAGATGGTATATTAAAGTAAATCCATGACCCAACACGGTGGTCTAGCACTTTTATATGGTGCTTAACAGCTCACAAAGATCAGGAGATCTAAACTCGCCCGTGGTGACCGCATTTTCGATTAAGGCGAAAATGTCCGAGGCCCGTGTGCCTAGATTTGGGCGCACGTAAAGCAACACAAGGATGCCGATTATTTCGGGGCCCCCACCACGGCGTCTTTCACTTATTATTTAGGTAAATGAACGTGTTCTGGCCAAACTATATTTGCTGTCATGCTTGTCTGATCATGCGCTAAAAGCGAGAAAAGAAATCGTTTGTTTTTATCCCACCTTTCGCACATACCATTGACTTCGGACACATTTACAACTGGTCGAATATGTCGGTAATCTCAGTTTGTTTCCGAAATCTATACGAATATTTTTTTCATGTTTTGCGTATACCATTATTTTTTCACCTCCCTCGTTGTGCAGTACACATGCCTCTTTTTTTTAGTATTCTTTTCCAAACCCCAGGTTTCTGCCCCACCTGTTAGAGATGATGAAATGATCACGCGTTTTTCTTTCTTTTCACGGACAGCGAGAACTTCTCGTTCATGGCTTGGTAGCACAGATTCCGTTTCTAAAGTGTACGGGCTTGTTAAATGGGGGAAAGTGCACAATACCTTGTCGAGTCTACGGTATTGTCGACAACGGCGCCAAGGTTGAGCAGCGAGATCATGTGCTCGAGCATCTTGTTGATGGTGTCGCCCGTCATGCCACGCACGCGGGCGTACAGCGTCAGCGTCTGGCGCACCGTCAGCCGACCGAGCACTCCGTCGTAGTGAGGACAGACGCCGATGCGCTGCTGCCAGGCGGACGTGTTGCTGAGCAGCGTATGGCCAATCAGCGCGGTGCCCGATGTGGGCGGCAGCACGCCGGACAGGATGTCCAGGAGCGTCGTCTTGCCGCAGCCTCGCAGACCGAGCACGACGAACGTCTCGCCAGGATCCACGTGGAACGTCAACCCTCGAAGTACCTGTCACGGTAATCGATCCGTGTGCCAGCCGCAGTTTACTATAGTGGTTATGATGCGATGTGAACGTCAATCCTCGAAGTACCTGTCACGGTAATCGATCCGTGTACCAGCCGCAGTTTACTAGTGGTTATGATGCGATGTGAACGTATATCCTCAAAGTACCTGTCACGTTAATCGATCCGTGTGCCAGCCGCAGTTTGCTAGTGGTTATGATGCGATGTGAACGTCAATCCTCGAAGTACCTGTCACGGTAATCGATCCGTGTACCAGCCGCAGTTTACTAGTGGTTATGATGCGATGTGAACGTCAATTCTCGAAGTACCTGTCACGGTATTTGACACGTGTACCAGCCGCAGTTTACTAGTGGTTATGATGATCGACTGCTGATACAAAGGTCGCGGGATCGAATACCTGCCGCTGCGGCTACATATCGATGGAGGCGAAATTCTAAAGGCCCATGTGCTTATATAGATTTAGGCGCATGTTGAAGAAGCAGTGGTGGTTGAAATTTTCGAATCCCTCTACTACGGCCTCCTTCATGATCACTTCGAGTTTAATTAGCCTACTAACAGATCTGTATACGCTTTGCGGACGTGTAATTGTTTTTTAGTTTCGGGCAACTAGTGTCTCGTCATAGTTTATTTGCAATGTAGAACTGTTCGAAGAGAACTCCAATAAATAGAATGTCGCTTGAGTTTGTGTTACGACGATAGGACTTGTTTTCGGTGGAGTGAGCACAAGTTTGTTTGTTCGAATGGCCGAGCGGTTTTTTGTTCAACAACTTGATATTATTTAGAGCCTCGATCATCTTCTCAACTTCTGCATTGTTTAGACTAATACTGTTTGAACTGTAAGACCAGCTACTGCTGCTGATAAGAACCTGTTGATGTTGAAACATACTCGCCATTCCTTTCACATCTACTGTCATCGTGGTGTCTACTGTTTGCACTGCAATGGTGATGAAAAAAATAGTGTTTGCCAGAATATTTGTTAATATAGTTGAAAGATAGAGAGTTGGTACGTATGCGTTGATGCAACTAGCTGGGACGGAGTAAGAAGCGAAAAGCTCTATGGAAGAGAAGCGTGTTTGCGACACATTTTTTTATATTTTTGAGTTTACAATATTTAGGTGAATTCGACTGTGTGTGAAGAAAAAGTGGGTAACGATTTAGAGCACCAGGTACTCTAGAATAGGAAAGCTGAAAGCCATCCTGTGGACCTAAAACAACAGTTGGTCATTCGACTCGAAGGCACTAAGCGAATGAGCTTATGAAGGCCCCCCATCGCATTTCTGCAAGTGAAAACACTTTAAGTCAAAGCAAATAGCAGTGGCTGTACCGGTGTGAAGAGTGAATTTGGAGCATCTGAAAATAACGATTACGCGATCACAAAAAAGACGTTCGTAAAAGGTTTATATTTCATGTCCTCACAGAATATATTTAGCTCACAAGTGAAGCACGCGTTCAAATGTATACGTCCATGACGTATGGTACATGTGCTGCTTGTGGCGCCCGCATGAAAACTGAAAGGCGAATGCCATTGCGGAACGCTTACATACCTGCCGGTTGTTGGTGTTCTGGCGAATGTCGAGTATAACGAGCCTCGGTTTCGTGAAGTCATTGCCGGCGACTATCTTCTCCACGACCTTCCTCTCCTCGGCCACTCCCTCGCGCAAACCCTGAGCCGGTGCTGCCGGTGTTTGGGAACCCGATCGGAACCACCGCAGCATGCCGTGCTCCAACAAGCCAAGCAACACCAGCAGCAGAAAGCCTTCCACGAGCATGACGAGGAGCTCGACGAGAACGGCGTCCCTGCATTTTTCGCACAGGCTTTTCGAACTCGTACAATGACGTCACGATCGAGTGCGGCTCCCACTTAATCCTCATTTGGGTCCCTGAAACCCAATTTTCCGGAAATCATACAAGCTCGGAGACCACAATTGAATATAACTATCCTGGATGACGGAATCGAGAAATTAAGGATTTGTGAGCTCAGCGTGTTTTCGAACTGTCGAATATAGGGCTGGACGATACACTTCAAAAGAGTCTTTTTGCTTTTTTTTCTAAGCTTCGTTGCAGCGCGCGACTGGATCACGACCACTAGAAAAAACCACATCGACGCCTCGCTACAAGTCGACTCTGCTCCACACAAACCAACCCCTTCTCCGCACCCCTCCCTGAAGAAAAAAAAACACTCATTTACATAATATTACGAAGAAAGCATCCTATAGGCCGTTCTGTTCCTACAAAGTATGCAGTGTGGTGTCCTCTTAGCCGTTAATGCCCCGAAAACATATAGTTTCGCACTTAACTTGAAGCAACTTGCCGTTATTTAGAACACTAGGGGTCACCTACAGGACAACAGAGAGGCAGAGGAAACACCAAAGCTCTTATCTATGAATCTCTGATGTCTCCGTGTGCCAGGGGTATGACCGGCTCTCCGCTGCCGCGGACAGCCACTGTAGCATGTGAATACCACTTAACACTCTCATTCATCCTGCCGCCGTACTGGTAGGTATATTTAGAATAGCACGTAAAGGTTTGCCGTGCTGGGTTGCTCCCGTCACCAAGCTAACACCCTTCGAAAGACCACAGGTAAACCCCATGTCTGTTTGTACAGATTTTCTTCCTCTTCCAGCCTGTTAAAAAAAAAAAAACTTGCTTCCACCTCCCCGTAAAGGAATCGTGAGAAAATGCGAATGCATTTCTTGCGCCGAGAGTACACGGCGTAGTAATTTTGTAGGCGTAAATTAATGACGAGATAGTGATTCGTAACGTAACCATTTATTTACACATTCATCAGCCAACGAACGGCCAAGAGTGAGGTGAGCGCTTCACTCCGCTTATATATACGTACGAGAGAGCGGACGAAATAGTGTGGCACAAACAGGAGAGAGAGCAAAGTGCGAGAGGAGCGGCGAAGCACTGCAGCTGTCATTTCCCCTGACGGCCGTAATGTCAGTCTTATCAACACAAACGCTACACAAACGCTTGCAGCACAACCGCTAAAAACGCGTTTCAAACGCACTGCATTGAGGCGGTGGCAAGTCACGTTCAAGTCAAGGAGGTGGGTGCTCCGGTTGATAGGGGCGAGGATAAACGCGCGCGTCCGCAGCTGTTGCTATGGGAGAGGGCGTTGGACGAATCCCGACGGATGCCTGACATAGCCCGACTAAGAAATGGATTTGCATTTAAAAAGGGTGTTAACTTAGCAATACGGATGGAGAAATTTGAACAAAAAAACACCTACAGGCTGGTACAGGCTTTCGCGTGACCGTCCATTAAGTTTTGCCTTTCGCTGTAGCAGATGTCTGCGTAAACTAAAAAATCGACGGGTATACCATACCTGTGAAATGCAAATGGGCTGAGGTGGCTGACTGTCTTTCCGTTGCTGGCGTAGAAGGTAGCGCAGCAGTATTGCAGATTCGTCAGAAGCACGGCGCCTTCGTCGGGGCTGTTGTGCAGGTAGGCGCACACGTCGTGCACCATCTGCGTCGTGCCCTGGCAGTAGCGATCTTCGCTCACCTTTTGTGCAACCTTGGTGATGGCCCAGGTGTAGGAGAATGGAGGCAGTAGGTACAGGGCCATCAAAAGTGGGTCCCATGGCTGGGTGAGCGAGATCAAGTGCTTGGAACCTTGTTCTTGCGCGATCATCACCAACTGGTAGCCCATGGTGCTCACGGTTCCTGTGCCAGTCACGAAGGGATCCATGTCGTACGAAGTGATTAGTGGCGTGTGTACTGTTTGTAGATAGTTTAAAGCACATTCGGCGCCTGCTAAAACACGGGCTTCAAATTGTTGAGTGGATTTCAACAGACATTTTCGCAATTTATGGAAGGTAATTTTAATAGCTCTCTCGATTTTTTCCGGAGCGAAATTTATATGACCACTTCGTAAAATGTATCTTTTATGGGTATTACCAGTAATATTTTTAGGCTGCCAAGAACTTTTATGTCCATGCAGCTGGAGAATAGCACATTAGAGAGTTCACTAACCATAAATTTTGTGTACAAGTTTCCACAAGGTCTACACATGCTCTTGCAATACTGTTATGAGGTAAGGTCTTCTACAGGATGCTTTGATTGTGAGGATTCATGTCAGAATACCATTATGTGATTGTGACGCACGCCGTAGTAGGGAATGAGATCAATCGCGCCTTCGAAATGTGGTCATTGTGGACGGGACTCGAACCAACGCCCTTATGACTGTCAGCCTAGCGAGCTCCTCAAGCGCCCTCTTTAGCACAAAGATAACTCGGCACATCCGCGAAGTTGTACTGTAGTCTGTTGCAACCTCAAAATAAATAAGAAACGGCATGACGTAGTGATCCCATGCTATCCCCTCTTTTCAGCTTCGATTCTCATTTCCCTTAGGAAACACTTATAAATGCCACCGCATTAAAAATGCAAATAGCATTTATAACCAAATACTCGAATGCGCTCCCAAAATTAAATAATATCGTCCGTAAGTATCATACAACATTGGCAAGCAACAGGTGCCTTAAAAGCGTTTCCCGAAGTACCAAAGTTTGTGTATCGCCGCAGCAGGAATTTTAAGGACATGTTAGTACATGAAAAAGTACGCTGTCATTCTACTGCCTAAGTAACACCTTGCTCCCGTCCAAAATGCAAGACTTGCAAACACCTTCAAGATCACATGATAGTTAAAAGCAGTGGGAATGATTATGTTCATCATACAAAATCTATAGTTTTGCCTGCTCTAGGTAAAGCCTTATATACATGATATGATGTTCATGTTGTCATAAATAGTACATTGACGAAACAGGACAGCCATTTAATGTTAGATTAAACGGTCATCGCACGGACACAGCAAAGAAATGACCCAAAGAAGCGACAAGGCATTTAAATGTAGCAGGACACAACTCTCAAATTATACATTTCACGCTCTACATTCTTCATTTTAAACTTACAGCCCACAAAAAGACAGCAAATATACAGAGTAATACCTTAATCACAAGTTTAATACACTCCAGCCAGTCAGTATAAACGTTTGTATAGGGACTCTTGAATAGATTCGTACATATGGTACATACAAAAAAAAAAACACAGTGAGTTAAGCCCTCTGTACAGGAACTCAAACCTGCCATTGTTAACTTCTGACGACCAGTTCGACAACCGGGACACATGTACATCCTCACCTCCCTACCACTTCCTTATTTTCTTTTTATTCGGGCAATACCTGTTCCTTCTTCACTCATAAAATTCGTCACAAAACCCCTCCCTCCTTTGTTGGGATGAAGGAGAGGGCACGAAGCGTAGACAAGCTAGCGCTAAAGAAATCAGTTCTGTTCTAGCCTTAAGCAAGACAAGTCTGCTTGTCGCAACGGCGGCTCGACAGAACCCTGCAGCTTAAGGATTTTTCATCTCAAGCTTCTTTTTTCCCCTCGCTATCATTGGTTATAATGAGAACAAGTGTTCCATGTTTTTGTTCAAGAGTGGCACACCCGAGTGGCATAATGCTATTTTTCGCTTGTGACGTCTAAAGTCTACTGTAGTGTCTGCGAGAATTCCGATGTGATTTTGGGCATGGTATACGTAAATATCGCCTTCTACGAACCTCTTAACTAATTCAGATTATATCGGTTAGCAATGCTCGCTCAACAATTAGTAATCCTCTGCTAGTAATTGTAAAGTAACAGTTAAAGGGAGTCGATAGACACTTTTTCAACGCGCAGCACACACACATGAACGTTAATTATTTGACTATTAATATTCTTGCGTGCATTTGTATTCTGTACTTTGAGAAAAATGGCCACTAAACAGGGGGAAAGGGGAGTAAGTATTAAAAATGATTATTACGCCTTCTTATGTCTACTAAAATGATTGCGTCTGCACGGCAATGAGGGAGTGCGCGTATGCACGTGTGTGCAAAGTTTCTCCGCAACAACTTTATGGATAACGAGTTTTTACCACCAGCCGGACGTGTAATGTAACTTGTGTCGTGATTTCCGCTTGCTTAGCGGCGCGCTTTGTTTACCTGAGAGGGCATTGATTGCATTCACAATCAGAAAGCCGCTGATCACGGAGTCAGTGACGAAGGAGAACCAGTAGGTGAGCGCCAGTATGCTGTGGACGTAGCTGAGAAACACCATTACCATGGTTATCGCTGAAAAAAAATAAAAAGAAGTACAGCGTTTGATTAGAAAAAAAAAGCGCGAATTTGCTTTCATGTTCTCGTATAGGAAGGACTTGGCCGAGGGAAAAGGAGGAATGCAGTATTCAGGTAAAGTGTGGGAACCAAATAAATATGAACATGAAAGCACGAGAGAGATAGAATCGTCACTCATATAACACTGCTTGACCATACTGCGATGAAAGTTGTTGTTCGGGTGCGCTGATCTTCAGGAACATAAGGAGACCTTTTTCTATATCCCACACCTATTTACAGTTAATGAACAGAAAGTAAGGGCCAGTTAAACAGGGGCATCGAAATTTCTCGAAGAAAAAAAAAGAACATGTCAAGTTTGGAATATACTAGCTTGTTTATCTGTGGCTGCTATTTGGACTTCTTGGTTTGTTCTTAATACCTGCAACGTAGGTACGCTGTGTATGCATATTTATTCCTTACTTCATTCCGTGTATAATTACGCGCAGCGTTAGACATACTATAGCTAGTCTTGGTGCGCAGCATTTAATGCACAAAAAATCCTAAGGGCTGTGGTGTGTGAAATGTTTACTGAAATAACTGACACAAGTCAATTTTAGTTAACATATATTAACTTTAGCCTACATTAGCCAAAAGTTAGCCAGTGCTACCCTAGAGATGGTGCTTGTATTAGGCGAGTAAATACGGTATGCTTCGTCCGGATTATTTATTCGTCAGTAGCGTTTTTAATGTTCAGTTGACAATATTTTTTTTAAAGCTGGCTCGAAAGCTGTTTATTGATTCTCATTTTATTTCACGTGGAATTCTCAGAACCAAAGACAAGTGCACAATGCTTGTGGCGGAATAATTATGTTATTGTTTGGATGCCGTTGATGACCCCTGATGACAACCAGGCTGCATGAAAGGCGTGGAGAGCTATTACATCCACTTTCCTTAAGTCAACTCGGGTGTCTGCTTATGGCCTGTTTAACAGCTATCTCGAGCATAAATGATCCCATTTCGTCCTACATTCCGCTTTAGCTACAATTAATTCTCACTCTAGTGAATCACCAACCCCCATGGTTTGACCAGAGCGGTAAAAGGCTCGTATCATTACCTCTGATTTGAAGTTAATTCACGATTAATCTTTCCAATGACCGAGATAACAACCGAGTGAAATGAAGCGCTCACCGATGCTCATGAATTCCGAGTGGCAGATGAACATGGGAATGAAAAGCACGAGGAGCGCCCCTAGGGAGAGCACCATGTCCCAGACGTAGTTGCCCAGCCAGTAGATGAACGGGTGCACGCCTGAGACTAGTTGCATTGTCTTGGAATTGGTGACGCGGTCTTCGATCGGGAAAAGGACGAAGCTGGCCGCCACCACCGAAGTTGTGGCCGGCAGCAGGACCATGCGAAGCACGCGCGAGGACAGCAGGGCCGACAGCTCGTCGGCGTAGCGAAGGTTTTGCGCGCTGTGTGAAGCGACCGTGTCGTTGTCCGTCCTGAGAGGCCGCAGAACGGTCACCATCATGGCGTCGTCGTCACCCGAGATCTTCCTGAGAAGCGCAGTGCCGACGGCCGCCAGGGACGCCGACTGTGTGTGGTAGGAGTCGCCGTTGTACCACGCAACAGCCTTGCCCGCCGTGTTGTTGTCAGGGCCCGCCTGGAACTCGGCGCCGGCCATGTACTCGCGGAAGGCGGTGCGCGACTTCTTGAACTCCATCATGAGACCTTGCACGTTGGGGACGTCCTTGACCTTTTGAAAGAAAGGGGGCATTTGTTTGGGGAAGGCAGGCGTCAGAGAGAACTCAAACATTGCGAGTACGTCCTTTTTAGTTGACTGAATACCGTTTCCAGTCTGGTAAATTCTATATATGTGCTAAAATATAATTATGATGAAGCGCGACTGGTTAGGTGCTCTGAACGAATGAATTTTATCATAGTGAGAAATTTTTTTTCTTCGAGTCATAGTCTACTCTATTTCTGGAGCACGTTCATGACACTAGTTTTTGACAACAAGGTGTGAAGCTGGTTCAATCGAAATATTCGTCTACGCGTCAATACCGACGGCAAAAGGGGAGAGACGCAATGCATGTCACATACCTCTGTGTCCTGCCTGTCCAGGTACCGCCGATATTCTCGCTTGAAAGGCTCAGACGCTTTGTCGGCCGAGACGAACACAGTGGATCCCGGGTGCAGCAAGGGCAAGTCGTACGTCATCCGGTCGCCCGCAAAACTGACCGCCAGCTGGTTGCCGAGGCGTTTCTCCGACTGACACTCGACGAACATGAGGGCGGCCGGCAGCAGCCAGCAAAGGACGGGCAACGCGAACGTCTGCCACGTGTAGTTGCGACGCTTCTCGATCATGGCGGCCAGCGTCTGCACGAACGTCGGCGTGCTGGCCTTCAGGTCGAAGATGCTTTTCAAGTGCTGCTCGATCTGCACCGACGACTCGTACTCCTCGACTTCGGACACGCCGCCCAGGTTTTCGGTGGGGATGATGTCTCGTTGCGAGTACTCGAACTCGGTGGCTGCGCCCGTGTGTGACTTCAGAGAGCTGCGCCGCGCCAAGGACGCTGCGCGGCGCCTAGACTCGACGTTCGCCGCGTCCAGCTCCAGAATCAACCGAGTGAAAACGTCCTGCATGGTGACCACGTTCACCTGCGAAAGGGTACCGAGCACGCAGTACAAGTAAGTAGATCTCTTTTCTAGGGATAGCTACAAGCCTACTATGTATACCGCCCCCAAGAACTCTTGAACAAAGGTAAAAGAAGCGGTGCGTTCAGGCGGAAGCAGAACGCAACGAATTAGTCCAGTGCAGTAACATCGTCTGCTTCAGTTTCTTTCATTTTACTAAACCAGTAATTAGCAGCACATGATTTCACAATCGTCCAAGACATAGCGACCTCTGTAGAGGGGTGAATATTAGGGCGCTTTTTTTTCTTGCACTTTAAATTGAAGTAACGCGAACAAAAGAGACAAAGTTAAAAGCGGACACAACCAGAAATTAGAAGAACACTAAAGTAAAACGATGAAAGAGTTTGCATTTATAAATGGTGTTCTGAGAACTCCACTTTCAAAATTTCGCTAAGATGTTTATTAATGCAGAAGGAAATCAAGGACAATTGAACGCCGTAATCTAGACGCGGGACGCCACGCATATCAAACAGCTTGTTTTCTTATTTTGGTGACATTGACGCAACGAAATTTCCTGAAACTTTATATTTTAAGTCTGTGCCTTCTCAGATGACAATTTATTTAATTTCTGTTGATTAGAATCTACGTAGAACCTAGTAGACCTCCCCCCCCCCCCCTATGTTCACTTACCGAGCGTCATCTCACGGCAAGAGCACTTATTTCGCAATTGTGAAAGTAATTAACTAATATGAGAAAAATCAGCGTGTTCTCTTAACCATACAAGATGGTCTTGACAGACAGCCTTAAGAATAATGACATCATTGTAGATTTTCTTTATAAGCCTATCTAAACTTTCATTAGTTTGACAAGCATGTCCCACACGAGAAAGAATGTGCATTCTGCCCACACTGCGGGATCAAGAAGAATGAGTGAAATGTTTATATATCTACAACTGTGCGCCAACACATATCTTGGTTTTGTTGATTGCACCTTTTAGATCGCCTCAACCAGCTAAACGTTCGCATAATCATTCCCTTTGAAAAATTAATTGCTCACGAGGAGGCTAAAGGAAATCCTGTTTACAAAGCAAGCTTTACATTTTCGATTGTCGTATAACATGAAAGTATTGATAATTGATTGATTGATATGTGGGATTTAACGTCCCAAAACCACCACACGATTATGAGAGACGCCGTAGTGGAGGGCTCCGGGAATTTCGACCACCTGGGGTTCTTTAACGTGCACCCAAATCTGAGCACACGGGCCCACAACATTACCGCCTCCATCGGAAATGCAGCCGCCGCAGCCGGGATTCGAACCCGCGACCTGCGGGTCAGCAGCCGAGTACCTTAGCCACTAGACCACCGTGGCGGGGCGACATGAAAGTATTGTTCATATCAGATACGCCATTCGGTGCACCTTGTATATTCTTGTAGCATTGCGATGTACTGGCCTAATTAGCTTTTTTTTTTCAGGGTAGTAAACATTATTTCGGTGCTTTTCTGATATTAGGGAACAATAGAGAGAAACTTGTTACCGGAGTAACCTGCCTCAAGTCAACATTATTTAACCGTTTGCCTTTGAATGCAATATATCCAGTTCAAGTTAGAGTGGTGATAACCATTACACCAGTTTCTTTATTCTCATCCCCCCTTCTGCGGCAAGCATAGACGAGTGCTCAGCAAGTTTTACTATAACTATCATGCACTCTATAATGTGTGCCTATTTTCTGTGATTATCAGTAAATATTGTACGTTTATCTAAGCATGTGATGAGTCCTGTCGGTCTAATTTTTTCCCCAGATACTTAAGTGGATTTTGTTTATTTTTCAAGCACACGTGTTAACACTTCTATCCACATTGAATAATTCATTTCATAGCACATAACTTTACAGGGGGAGTAGGGTTGAGAGCTGGGCTAGTTGGTGAGACATCATTTAACCATATGGTGTAGTAGCGCAAATTTGACGGGGACGAAGAGGACAAGAAAACACGACACTCGCTACACTCGCAACTAATTTTTATTTCAGAAGCAGCACTTCATATATAACCCAAAACCCTAGCGACACAGAAAAGAACTACGAACACTGAATCATTGCCAACAGAAGCTTTTGCGCAGACTCAAACGATAGTATACGGCAGTTAAGCTTAGACACTTTTAGATGACATAACTAAAACAGCCCTGGGTAACATCAAATCAAAAACAAAAAACAAAAGATTATGCGGGAATTCACACGTGTTGAAACAAAATTTTTGAAACGACAAGAAGGAGAGTATGACACATGCAAACACTGATCTCAATTAAGTCCTTCGAGGTAGCTGGCTTCTCGGTTACTTAACGAAACCGATGACTTACTAATGCATCCTTCTTTTCTTTTTTTTTTAATGTGAAAGGCTTCGACAATTTTTCTGGTTAATTGGTTTCCATGACGGAAGACTACGGTTGTGTCACTGTACAGTGGTGAGCAGCCACACTGGGAACAGTGTCTCTTTATGTGAGAATGAATGTCAGTTCCTAATGATCGCTTGTGTTCTAAAAGTCGGGTGTTCAAACAACGACCCGTCTGGCCGATGTATACCTTTCCACACGTTAGCGGCAAGCAATACACGACTGATAGGCTACACTTAACAAACTTTGTTGTGTGATTTACCGTACAACTACCAGCATTAGTGTTTACTGCTATGGAAACTTTACGGTCTAGTTTGGAACATATTTTACTAAGCTTGTTGGGTGCCGAAAAAACTAATTCTAGGCTATAGCGATTACCTACGTTTTTTAAGTTATGGGCAATCTTGTGCGCATATGGAACTGACACTATCTTCTTCCTGTTTTCATTACTTGTCATTTTTTTATGAAAGTTGTTGCGTACGTGACTAATCAGCTTGTTAGCTGATCTACACAACACGTGTTTTTCGTACCCAGCATTTTTTAGCCTGATAATTTGTTGGTTGAAGCTTTTGCTAATTTTTTCTGGACATGACTTTGTTAAGGCTGCTCTCAAACATAAAAAGGCTATGCCACTCTTTACAACTTTAGAATGTGCCGATCGGTAGCTAAGAAAGGGTTTTTCCGTTCGCGGATTGTATGACCAGCATACATGTTCTGCTGTGGCATCTAACTCAATATCCAAAAACTGCAGTTTGTCATTGACTGGTAATTCATGAGTAAATTCAAGCCCTCTACTATTTTTTTTGAAGACTTTCAAAACTTCTGCGACCATTTTATCCCGACCATCCGATTCAATAAAAACCAAAAAGTCATCTACAAACCGAAACACTTTGAGTGCAAGCCCTTTAAGGTTTAAATCTATTGCCTTGTCCATTTTTGCTAAATAAAATGTGCTTAAAACCGGGGCTACTTTCAAGCCCATTGTGATACCGGATTTTTGTCGGTACATAGCCTCTTTACAGGGGGAGTGGGATACATAAAATAAACTATAAACAAGACCAAACAAAGTAATGTCTCTTCTGTAAGGCAGAAAATTCGCCACAGGTAAAAAAAAAAAAACAGGTCACAAAGGAAACCCTTCTGTCATGAATATGTCGAAAAAGACGTCACTGTATAAGATAAGAATATCAACGCGTTAAAATTCACCTAAAAAATTAAAGCGAAATATCTGGTTCGTTTAACCGACCGTCATAGATTCGATGTTCATTCCTCGCATGTCGTTTTCAAGATATTGAAGCGCTGCTGACACAGGCGTGCATCCATTGCGCATGCCCAGAAAGTAGACGACCGAGTGGCGGTGTTCTTGAAGCACTCGGCTCTCCGGCACTCTGGCCTGTGGTCGATGTTGAATGCACATGCGGCAAAGGCGAGAATCGGTTAAGATGAATATTGAAATGGACTCAGAATAGAGTGGGAATTGGTTTAAATGAGACTATAGTTGAAGGAAGAACTTAAGGTTGTGTGAATTGGTGACAGATGCGAGAGACAAGCCCACATGCCATTAGGTTAAGCAGGTCTCACGCAATAATAGTTCTCATTATTATTCGCGAGGAATGTCACTAATAAGGAATACGTAAATCACACAGAAGTTAAACACATTTTCACGGGGCATAGTAAAATTATGGTGGAGCTCGCAGCACTTAGTAGTTGTGCATACTTCAGTGCCTATTACTTTTCCGTCATATAGCTTGATACGCATTCCTTTAACTGCTCCTCGAGTTTCTTTTTATCCTGAGGGTTTGTCTCGTGAGCTCACAGGCCAGGTGAATTCCCACTACGTTTCATACGCAAGGTGTAACACTGTGGATATTATGCAAGAAGTTCGGTCACTAAAGTGCGTAAGTCAGCGCGCTTCGCGCTTGTGTTTTGTCGTTGTACGTAATCATGGCCTCCGCGATGGGTGCCGGCTGCATACCAACGTGACTGATCGCAGAGGCCGTGATACAAAAGCAAAGAAATGCTAAGCCATCCAGAACAACCTACTAGCAAGCATACAAATCACGAGGTTTGTTTCATTACAAAGCAACATGCATCTGTATTTACTACTCGGTCTAAAATTATTGAAAAAATCACACTATGGGTAGTAAAATTAATAAACCATTTCTCGGTGTGGACACTTCTACTGAAACAAATTGCATTGGTTTACATAGCATTTTGTTTTGATGGTGTCCTTTCAACGCTTTCTCATCAACACCGCTTCCATTTCATCGCTGTAGCAAATGATCAAACGCTCTCGCACCTGAAGGGCCTGTAAGGTACGCTTTGTTTCGAACTTGGGGCCCTTTTGAATGGTAACGTTGTATCCGGTGCCATAGCGCCGTTGCAGGAACCCAGTGCGGCCGCAGCACTTGAGAGCCCCGTAGCCCAGGACGGCGATGCGGTCGGCGATCACTTCGACAGCCTCGACCTCGGGCGTTGTGATGATGATGCACGTTGTTGGCCTCAGCTTGTCCAGCACCTGCCACACGTTCATGCGCGAGGCCGCATCCATGCCACGCACAGGCTCGTCCAGAATCAGAACCTGTATGTTGGCAAGATGGTTGATCGGGCGAGTTGGTCAGTCATGATGATACGTAGACAGGAACAGAAATAAAATGTACTCACTAGGCGCAAAAAAAAAAAAAACATTCCCTCGCATGTTTTCTCCTCAGTCTCACTTCTATTTTCTACCTCCTAGCTATACTGTACTTAATCAGGGTTATTCTATGCTTTACCCTTCCCTTCCTCCTCACCCTCATAATAATTTCACGCCCCATTGCTTTACTATGCTATACATGACCATGCTTAACATTGCTGTTTCATATACGATTTTGCTTACGTGACGCCATGCATGCTATGCTGTGCTTTACGCGCTTTACGCCTTCCCTCCTTTCCCTTCTTATCCTCAAATAACTCCTCAAAACCGTCATTTACGTTACCTCTCCCTCGTCATGCTATACTTTACCTGGATATGCTGTACATGACATATGTTATACATGGTGTGGCCTGCATGGCACCAAGCGACAACATGAGAAGACAGCATACCACGTCCTAGGCCACTAAAGTGCGTCGCACTGAAATATTCAAGTGCACCGCATGTTAGCGTCCTTGAACACGGGGTGTCGCTGGAGCCAATGTTTCGACAAATGGTGTTGTCTTCCACTGTTTCCCTGAAGAAGACAAGACCGCTCGTCGAAACGTTGGCTCCAGCGACATCCCATGTTCAAGCATACTTCGTATCTTGATTATGGTTCACACTGAACAAAGCATTTTACGAATGCATGTTCCTAAGTTGTCGGCGCTACTTCTATATAAGAATAATAAGTGCATCATATATTTTTAGGGCACACAAAACGCACGCAGAGAAATTGCTGATAAGATTGAATGAACTTGCTAGGTGCAAAAGCATTCCTGGGCAGGGTGATCAATACAGTTGACTGAAAATAAAAAGATCGTTTCCGCCTTTGAGTGATCATAGGCGAATTCTTAAAGGCCAACTCCGGCGATTTTTCGACCATGTCAAGGTTATGCTGTTTCTATGTTCCTGAGACACTCTTGTCACGAGCCCAATTGCTGAAATGCTCAGGAAATTTGAAAATAGTTTTTAATAGGTAAAAATGTGCAATACCGAAACCGAAACCCAACCGAGAGCCCTGTCTGCGTATGACGTACTATTTGGTAGAGTCGGAGGCCGTATGCTGGTTCCGCCGGCATGGAGTATGAAAACTGTGAACGCCAGTCCAGCGAAGCACCGGCCAAACACAGAGGAAGGAAGAAAGCATTCCCGTGCTATACCCGTGCTAAACACCGCGGCTGTCGCCTTGTGGAAAGCACAATAAATGCTGTAGTGGCCAAAATAGCAATGCCATCGGCTGCGTCACTTCCGTTAACATGCCAAACATGACGTCACACAGACAGTGTTGCCAATATTTCTGGCAAGTGAGGTGACCTTTTCGAGGCAATCTTTAAAATTTATTTGCAAACGATCATTGCATCACTCAAACCTGTGATTTGGCATAAAGGACTAAAATGTGCAAAGGAACATGCCCAGCCAATTTCATTGCGATTCTTTGACCTCGAAAAATCGCCGGAGTTGGCCTTTAAGGGACCTCGCGAGTTTTTATGGATGCACCATCTCCGCAGTTTTCAACACTTGTGATTGTGTCGATCATCCGGTGTGTTCTCCGTCTGCACGTTGACCACGCTGAAATTAGAGCCCAAATGTGGGTCATGTCAGTAATACCTTGCGTGGGACCACTATGGCTATGGCGATGGCCAAGCGTCGTTTCTGGGCCTCCGCAAGTAGGTTGGTTCGCACTTCGGCGATGTCGACCAGCGAGAACATGTCTTGAAGCTCGACGCAGCGGCGTAGCAGGGCCTCGCCGGAGAGTCCCGCCAGTGCACCGAAGAAAACCAAGTGCTCGGCCACGGTCAGGTCGTAGAAGAGCACGTCACGCTGCTGCACTACGCCCATCGTCTGGCGTGCGCGCGCAGTCTGCACGGCCACGTCGTAGCCGTTCACGATAACCTGCGCGCCCACCAGGAAGAGAGCTAACGTCATTCATTCACTTATGAAGGCGGAAATGCTGTAGGCCAGTGTGCTCAGATTTGTGTGCACGTTAAAGAGCCCCAGGTGGTCGAAGTTTCCGGAGCCCTCCACTATGGCGTCTCTCATAATCATATGGTGGTTTCGGGGCGTTAAACCCCACATATCAATCAATCAATCAATCAAATCAATCAATCAATCAATCAATCAATCAATCAATCAACCAATCAACCAATCAATCAATCAATCGCTTATGACGAATTTCAGTCACCGTGGTTGTTTAGCAGCTAAGCTCGAACACGCCAGTTTGATCGCAGGCCACGGCGGCCGCATTTTGCAATGGTGAAATGCAAGATAACGCGGGCACACGCATTAAGGTGCACGTTAAAAAAAACTCCATATGGCCAATACCAATATATAGTCCCCACCACGGTGTGTCTCAGAATTCTAAAGTTTTGACATGTCATACTCTGAACGTTAAATTAAACTAAGAAAAACTCGTGTGTCATTCGACTCTGTGATGATGTATGGTGATAAAAAACTGGGTAGCACATGACACAGAGGGACTCGGAGTTTTCGCGGACAGTACAGAAAGACGCAGACTATAAACGCGTTAGTGTGGAAGAGCTTGTTTCACGGAAATGCTGGGGCCTGCACCGTTGGTCGCAAGCGAAAATTCAGCGTTTCCTGCCTGTGAGCGAGAATTCGAGAGAGTAGTTTGAGTGGGAATTCAACCCACGACTTCAGCGTGGCGAGCAGATGTTATACCACAGACATACGACGATGCTTGAAGCGGTGTCGGAAAAGATATACATATATAGGTTTATCATGTAGTGCAAGGAGTCTTCTTAGCGCATGTAATATCACGTAGCAGATCAGTTGAATCGTACCAGGAGTCGAAAAAGCTGGCCCCGCCGTGGTGGTCTAGTGGCGAAGGTACTCGACTGCTGACGCGCAGGTCACGGGATCGAATCCCGACTGCGGCGGTGGAATTTCCAATGGAGGCGGAAATGTTGTAGACCCCTGTTGCTCAAATTAAAGTGCATGTTAAAGAACCCCAGGTGGTCGAACTTTCCGGAGTCCTCCGCTACGGCGTCTCTCATAATCACGTGGTTTTGGGACGTTAATCCCCACATATCAATCAGTAAGAACAGCTGAATATCGCAATGAGTGGTCGGTTTAAAGACCCCCTCCCCCCAAAAAAACACACAGGAATAACCGATCGTAATTACCAGCAACTGCATAAAAAAAGTGCGCAGCTGCGCAGACATGTTGCCTTACGGACGCGAAGCGAATACTTCGCCCATTTGCACAAGGACTAATTATTACGTAGTGGTGACTTCAACAGTGTAATAGGAGTAGGCATACTTCGATAGGATAGCGAAGCGAGGCTGACGATTGATAGGGCGACGCACATTAAGCACGATTACGGTAACGCTGAAGAAGAAGCGTCCTCAAACATTCCCCAAGTTTTTTCTTTCTAACTTGGCGCATGCTCAAAGCACTTCCACCTGGATTAGCGTGAGCCACAAGTTCAGTGCGCAGATTATTTATTTACTTTTTTCAATTATTTCTAGTGTACAAGTGGTGTTTAGTGTGGTTCACCGAACTTCTTAGGCACATACCTGAGGGGTTTTCAATTGAATAGGTAATTGTTGAGAAGGAAACTGGGCAAGGTTCCTTTTGGCGTTGCATAAGTGGTTGCCAGACTGGAAGGGTGGTTGTTGCCAAACTGTCGCTAAATTTGGCAGAAAATTTTCATTTTGTAGTTGTGGCTTCTCCGTAAGAATTTGGTGCTATCCGCGGTGCATTTTTTGGCTGAAAATGCGCTGCTGCGCAATTAAGAGGCCGTTTTAATTCCGTTTTAATTAACGGAATGAACCGCGCATACAGAATTCGTTTTATTTACCGAATGAACCGCGCCCAGCAGAAGTTGAGGCGCGTTCTCTTGCTGTGTGCGCAGCTGTGCGATTGAGATATCGCGTCTCAGTATTAGGGATTACGGGGAAAACTGAATAGAGTCGCAAGAGGTGATGCGTTGCACCCCTGCCCCCTTACTTTTTTTTTATCAGCTGATCGTGTCGCGTCGACCGCGCGCTACGACGGGGAACGCTACGTTTCCCCTAGCTGTGTCAGCACAAGACATATCGTTCGGACTCGTATATACATGTGATGAATAAGCGTTCCAAGGCTGGTTAATCGGGGTACGTCGGATATGCTTCAGCTATGTACGCCTGGAAGGCTGCTTTATCGAAGCAGATGGAGCGAATTAAGCGCGAACCGACCCTAGCAGAAGTCGAGCACCACGCTCGACTTCCGCTAGGCTCGGTTAATTTCGTTAATAAAAACGGCCAGCGTCGCTCATGCACTCGCAAAATGCACCGCGGATAGCACCAAACTCTTACGGAGAAGCCACAACTACAGGAGAAAACGTTTCAGCCAAATTTAGCGGCTGTCTGGCAACAACCACCCCAAAGTCTCGCAACAGATTTATGCAACGCCAAAAAAAACCTTGCCGGAAACTGTTCGTGGAGGGACGAATCGTTTAGTTACATGAGGTTTTACTGTGAAAGACTCGCAATAATAATAATATGTGGAGTTGAACGTCCCAAAACCACCATATGATTATAAGAGACGCCACAGTGAAGGGTTTTGGAAATTTTGACTACCTGGGGTTCATTAACGTGCACCCAAATATGAGCGCATGGATCTACAACATTGTTGCCTCCACCGAAAATGCAGCCGCCGCAGCCAGGATTCGATCCTGCGACCTGCGTGTCAGCAGGCGAGTGCCTTAACCAGCAGAGCACCACAGCGGGGCTTTAAAATACTCATTCCTCCTGTGTAAGGTCCCCTTTAGAATTTTAACATGTAAAAACCAGAAATCCTACGAGATTCACCACCCACCTGACCCTGGGTAGCCACCGCACTCCCGCTGATTATATTCACCAGCGCTGTCTTTCCGGCACCGCTGGGGCCCAAAATGACCATGATTTCCCCCTGGTACGCCTTGAAGCTCGTGTCTCGCAGAACGTGCTTTTGCTTCTTCTCATATTCCAGCCTGCTCAGGTTCACGCGGTGGAACAAGCACGAAAAATTATGACAATAACAAATATTCGCTTATTTTCATTGCACGTTATAGAAGTTTCCCCAAGTTTCCAGGATAGCTGTCGTAGATTATTATGCATGGAATGTTGTTAGATACCATTGTCGACGGCCCTATAGTGACCGTGAGCCAAATGCCAGCCTCGTAATCCGGGCACTCAAGACGAGACATCCGTGGAGCTCAACGAGAACATATGGGTACACTTCGGCACAAGAAACACGCATTGGTCGAAACACTAACGACGATGACGAGCGCGATGAACTTTTAACCATTTTTACTGAAAAATTGCGCGTATAATATTGCGATAGCAATTATATGGACACTCTCAGCTGGGCTGTGCCACCGGCGTCACTCACCGTATATGTATAAGCATCTATATATATGTAAACGCAAGAAAAAAGAATAATTAAAGACTCCGGCGCGTGGAATCGAACGTGGAACCTTTGAGTCGTGAGTGCGAGGCGTTAGCCACTGAACCATGGAGGAGCATCCCCTTCAACGTTCAAACGGCAAGTTATTTATATCTACCACTTACCGTTGGTGACGGGTATCTTGGGGGGGAACTACTATCGTGTTTCGGCATTACCAGCGAGATGGCGCCATGAGCGTGCGTTGCCAGACTGTCACGACATTGCAGCGCGCTCTCATTTTCCACGCGTACTTTGCCCGCGAAGAGGAGAAGCTCTCGCTTATCTCGCGGTGGGCACAATCATACGCTTAGGGCTTTCACCGGAACGATTCTGTTTTAGTTACCGGGCGCACAATGGTCCCTGCACTCGTAGCACAATCTCTGTTTGCGAAAAGGGCGTGCTTTTCAGACACGGCGAAGTAACAACCAGATACACTTATATTCGTGTTCATCTGTACCTGTGAGTACGTTTCGTGCGTCATTTATGCGTGAGAAACGCGGGGCAAGTTTCAATCTACTTGCCATTCCACGGGTGGCATTCCGATTGGTTGCTATCGTGTTCATTGCTTCGCCTTTAAGGCAAAGCTGTGACTTTTTTTTTTTTAAATACTGACCAACACAGATGTAATCCACCACACATGCGTAAATACTTCATGTCTTTATCAATACGTTGTTCGGATAGCACGCTTAAACAACTCCCCCTAGATATTAAATGTCTTCTGCTTTTACGGAAGTGTTGTTTGCGCTGTGCAAATATGTCGATTCAAAATCACAAACTAACTTAAGGTACTGTTCTGTCTAGACATCAATGAGCCACCCGGGCAAGCACACAAACGTTAAAAAAATAAGGACAGTCTTTGACAATCGACCTTGAATCCCTATAGGTTTGCATTACATACCCCAGCTGCAGTTGAAACATTTTTTTTTCAAGTATCAGCAATTGAGGGTCATGCAATTTCGTGCTCCCTGACTGCCAATTCACCAACACTGGTTCTTAAGTGGGCTAGTTGGTTCATGAATACTCTTGCAAAACAACAACACAAAACGAAAATCGGAACAGCTGACACACAGAACACAGCGCTGTCTCATTTGTGTTCACTGCTGTTTTTTGCGCTGTTTTGCTTCACTGTTCGCTAACTAGTACGAAGTTTTGACGTATTGGTTTGGCAACGGCAAAAGAGAGACACACTTGTTGACAAAGACGGCCTCTTCCTTGTCCACTGGATACGTCTCGAAGTGCACTCCATCGGGAATGGATGGCTGAATCGGCTGGAACTTGCCCTTCGGTGTGGCGAACCAGTATTGGTACGTGAGAGGGAACCAGGGCACGTACGGCACGCCAATGTACCAGGTGAGAACGTGGCTGAGGTACCAGCCCAGGATGATGTTGACGATGCTGTCAATCAGCATGACACTCCAGATCTCGACCATCGTGACGTTGTCCAGTTCCAGTACAGAAGATGTAGTAGAGGTGAATGCATACTGCTCCCCTGCATGTGCACATGACCTCATGGGCTGTCGGCTCAGAAATTAAATGCGATAGGCCCTAAATAGTAAGCGTAAACCGAGGGCTAAAACCGGCACTACGGCCTCTGCCGAACAATCGCAATGCGTGGGTCTGACTCGTGGCCTAGTGCATTCATGTTGTTGACTGCACGTAACTAGCGCTAGTTAAATCTGTGAATTAATTCTGTGAATTAATTAAATCTGTGAAGTAATTTCAGAGATAGCATCATGAAGCAATAAACGAATACATAAATAAACAGGTTGCAGGATAGCCAGAAGCATTCTTTACTGTCCTGTAAAGGCTACTTGAAGGTGAAAGCCTTCATTTTTTCATCTCAGCCCATGTGTCAATCATTCCTTCGCTCCCCCGCTACCTTTCTAGGCTTTCTGACCATAACGTGGTGTTACACTGCCACCGTGAACGGCCTACCTTCAACCATTTGACAATGTAATGTGCTGAAGTCATGCTACGTCGCAGTGACGCCATGGTGACGTAAATTCGGTCCATTGGTACATTAACACGTGATGTTTCTCGCATCATTTGTGTTGACCATGAGGACAAATATCGTTTTATGAAGCATCTGAGACCTTCTATGTCTTCACCACTCGAGAGGATTGTCATGGTATACCACTTGGATAGGTGCCTTCTTGTGTCTACCGATGTAATGTAATGCGTGCAAAAGAGATGTCATTAAAAAATAAAACTAATAAAACGTCTTCTTACCGACAACGTTAGCACAGCCTATGATGCGGAAGCACCAGTGCATGCCAACGCATGGCAGCGTTGAGGTGAGGAGCTTTGTCCAGCGATCCAAGAGAATATAGTGGGCCGCGCGACCTTGCATATCTTCTAGAAGTATGCATGGCATGACGTAGCTGATGTGCCAGTACACCACGGCGAACACCACGCCCAGTACTGTGTCTCTAAAGAAGAGCGCGATAAGCATCGCCTTCGAAATGTATTGAGCCGTGAAGAGGGCGAAGCAGATGAGAACCACCGGCTTGCTTGTGTCGTCCAGGGAAGCCTTAAAGCAAGAGAGCGCACAAGTTCACCTTTGTAATATACTGGTAGTGCGCACTTATCGATCACAGGCCAATGACATTTAGACTAGCCTTAAAAGGCAATTAAAGCTACAGCAATGCTGCAATAATGAAAAGCATATTCCAGAGTTGCGGCTGATGAGTCAGCGTTCCTAAAGAATATGTATGAACGTTGACCAAAAAAATCCTCATGCTATTTATTTCATTGTGACCCGGTACAACTGGATACGCTCGAAGTTTAAGCGTTCAATAATAATGACTAACAGCCACAGCCAACCCTTACGTATCAAATAGTTGTAGCGCCGAAGGAGTCTTGATCCAGGATTCTTGTTCCAAAAGAAACAGGAAATTGAATGCATGATGCAGGCATAAGAGACATTCGAAACCGTGGCTGAACCTCATTCGCGTTACTTGAGCTGACTCTAAATAAACAAAAAAAGCACTTGCGATCGGTATGCCCGTTTTGAAGCACACTTTTATAGTTTTATTTTTTCAAGGTCACCGGAATGTGAAGATGTGGGCTTCTGTAAATATAACGGATGTCTGATTCTACAACAGAAGGGGTAATATTCGAAGGCTTGTTTTTTTTTGTTAGACGTATCCCAATGAAACGGACAAACAATAAGCTTAGAGGCTACCTTCATTGTCTGCCTGTTTCATTATGTTAAATATTCAAATTGGTGGAAGGCTGAGTGAATTTCTTGTATTAAATCTTTATAATACTACCTTACAGCAACGCTATTGATAATAGCTTTGAGCGTGCTGGGGTAAACCGTGCTTGGTTTCTCGACAACTTTCAGCTAGATGAATTTGCTCCTTTCGATCAGCATTGTGTTCACGCAGTTCTTCTGGTGTCTGATTTCCATGGTCCACCCAGGGCTGTCTTAAAATGAAGTGAAAAAGTTTCTAGACAAGGTTTCCTTTTACGTATGAAAGTGGGAAACGCAAGCGAAGAGAAGGAAGGGCCGTTTGACGTCATTTGAAGCCGTCGTGTGAAGTGCAAAACAGCTGCAAACTAATCCTTACCGGGAACGCATGGGAGAGCGTTTCCATTGCTCACGGGTGCCTCATCATCCATCACGTGTTTCTGATGCTCGTTTGGTGGTTTTATTTACTGAAATGAATTCTGAGCCTTGTGCTGTATGCCTGATTATAAAGGAAGTACCCTGTGTGCCTGTAATCGTTAAAGGACCCCAAGCCACTTAGAGGTCGAAATTTCATAGTGCCATTGCACTTGTGCACGTGTTTACGGCAAATGCATTCATCGGCTCGTCTATTCACCTCTACGAATGCTATTTCTCATCATACGAAGTGAAAACGCAAGAGACAAACTCGCCTCCTCTGCCCCTCCTCCCCTTCTACCTGGTGCGCATGCCCACGGACTCAAGCCAGCACGTCTACATCGTAGAAGTCTGTCTCGACAGAGCAATGCACTCACCTGCGAGCCGTTATCACCGGTGTTCTCTACGGCAGTCATGTACGCCATGACCATGACGACGCTCACGAGGCCAGAGAAGAAGCCGGCCATCCAATGACCCAGGCGATATACGGGGGCACGGAGGCCGACCAAGCGCAGCTTCTCGCGCATTCCCTGCTGCGTCTCCTCCACCACGCGTGACAGAATCAAGCAGAAAGGCACCAAGTAGCCGACGCCCAGCCGGATCAGCATCAGCCACCGGTGCGAAGGCATGTCGAGCGGGTAAGGACCTGACGTGTAAGGAAACGAGTATTTCACAGTGTCTTGTATTAAAAGGCTCTGTAGCTCCCAGAAACAGCAAGAGATAATGTACGATCAGTGTAGCATGATATTCGTCAGGGAAGAGACAATTCATCTTCGCGTACAAATAGGAAAACATAGTGAGCAACAGCTTTCTATGCAATTTATTCATTTCGTTGGAATTAAAGCTTTCAAATGCCTTCTAAAACATCTTATAGCCATCATTACCAGTCATTAGGTCAATATTATTCATATGTAGTAAGCACGAAACAGGATTACTAACGAATGCTGCAACTGAATTCACATGACTTTGGTGCTCTATTATGGTTCATTTGCTGGTCGTTTTCGAGCGTTATAATTTTAAATAAATTAGGCTGAAACTTTCAGAATATGCTCCAGCACAGTGTTCTGAGGCGCTTTCATCTCTAACATTGGAGCGTGACCGAGATCTGGTCACGTGTATCCTCCGGCCTACATTGTGACGTGACGTAAGCCACGGCACCTGGACGTCTTAGTTGGTTAGAAAAAGAAGACGTGGTGCGTCGTGTATCTTCTTCTGACCCCCTGATTGCTCTGGTGTGGGGGGACACACTCTGCTCGGACTGGCGTTTTCTCACTCGGATCAAGAGCGGCTCCACATTCATTTTTGCAGTCCGAGTTAGTGCACTACAGCACCCAGCCTAATCCACCCTTAGTCACACAGATTTTTTTGTAGTTATACTTTCGGTCTGACAATCGACATTGCAAACTGTCTCACCGTGCTACCTAAACGTTGTGGAAGAGCGTTAGGAGGGCAAAGTACCTTCAAGGATTCTGCGTTGTGGGACTTACGGTAGTAGGAGTCATAATCTCAGTGCAATAGCCGACATCGGCAAACTCAGTAAATCCTCTTTCGGTTACACATGCTGTCTTCCCCTTCAGAATGAACGTTTTACCGTTATATGACCAATTACCGAAGCCATCGACGTCCCAATGCCTCATTCAGCAAGCAGCAAAAGCTGCCGCCGAAGACGCTCATAGGGTTCAGTGCTTGATGCGACTCCTCCCAAATTCTGCAGACATCGCGGGCGACACGCCGCACTACGAGGACTACAGCGCCAACGCCGATGGCTTTTTAGTCCTCATACCGGGGCGTATCCAGAATATTTTTCTGGGGCAAGGAACCTTTTTGATTTCGGAGGGGGGGGGGGGTGAACACCTTTTTAAAAATGCCATTTTTGGCTGTATATGCTAGGGCGAAAACATTTCGTGGAGGGGAGGGCATGAACCTGTTGTGCCACTCTCTGGCTATACGCCACTGCCTCGTACTACTCGTATTTGTTAAACGCCTATGTTTTATGTGGTTGCTATCAGCACAGGCTTCGTGCCAAGCACGAGATCAAGTACGTACCCTCGGTGGTTCGGTGCGTCACTATGTTGTACGGCTTCTCGGCGTACGTCGTTTCGGCGGCCACAGATGCGAGGTGCGCCTGGCCCAGAGCGAGCTGTAGGCAAGCGACACTCTCGCGCTGCGTCACCGGGTTGGGCAGCGGCTCGAACAGCGCGTACCCGTTGAGCCGCTTCGACATGAACTCGAACTCGTCGTAGAAGCTGACGCTGAAAGCGAGCCCGAGCTTGGAGCCAGCCTCGCCACTCTGATCGAGCGTGACGGCCACGACGCGCTGCTCGGGTCCGCGGTTGGGCTTCGGCGACACCTTGTGGAAGGCGCTCAGCATGTGGCCCGCCGTTTCGAAGCCCACCACGCGCACCTTTTTATTGTCCTTGAAGGCCGCGTGGAACAGCTTGTCGCCGATCTTGCGTGGCGCGTACAGTACCTGCAATAGTGCGTCTCATATACACGACATGTCTTGACGGCCGTGGTCGAGAAAATGTGGTGCATAGGTGGGCTCTTTAGCGTTGAACTTTGAACGAGTTAGTTTAAAACGTCATTTCCGGAGTTACTGAGTTATGTTGCGTTACTGACGGCACTACCCTTTCCTACCTATGGTAAGCGAAGTCTAGCGAAAGTTGGACACCATTCCAGCGCACTGGAAAGGGCAAGCAAAGTTGAAAGGACGTATTGATTTGAGCCTGACGTAGGCCGCAGTGTCACAAAATGATGTGTACAGTTGGCGTTTTGTTCTAAACACCGTAAAACACCCCAAAGTTTACTTCAAAGAAACAGCGCAGGACGAAGAAACACGAGGACCCAGCAGGTCCTCTGCCACCGCACGCCGTTTGTTAGTTCTAAACATTAGAATCTAAACTACCATCATTTACTGTAAAGTTTATTATTAATAATCTTATTAACACCTTAAAATCACCCTAAAACTGCCTTATTACCAATTGCGGGCAGCTGAAGTTTACAAGGTCTCGCTCGTGGTACTCGCGTGGCTCGGAGTAGTGCAGGCACGGAGGCTTGTCGCAGTGTTTGGTCGGCAGTATGGGCCGGTCGTGCTCGACGGCGAAGAACGAGAGGATGATGAGGACCACCTCGAGGGCGGTCACGTAGTAGTGGCGCTTGATCGCCTGCACGTACACGTCCTTCCACACGATCGTGTACAGCTGATTAACCACGCCCATGCTGATCCCCTGCGTCCACATGATGCATCATCACGAGGTACTGAATATGCCTCCACATAGCGAGACTGCAGACACTCTACTTTGAGCATTGTACATGTTGTCTTCTTCAAAGCAACGCCAACCTCTGGACATGCCACGGAAAAAGACACAAAGATGAAACTTTATTTTTATCCTTTCTGGGGCCAAGAGAGGCGGGGGCCGGAAGACTATCCATGCTGTAGCCCCCCCCCCCTCCTCATGTGGAAGCCCGACCTTAAGTCCCAGTGGTGCCTTCGGCCAGTCGCACCTCTCATTGTGAAGGTCCTGGGGGGGGGGGGCACGGTGCTGAGCTATAGCGCGACAGTCATATCAGAAAGTCATTTGAATATCATGGTCTGAAACCTCGCTTTCCTTAGACTACTTCCTGTCTTATGTTGATAGCATTTCATGCTACGAAGGATGCACGGAGAAAACCAGCGTATTCTAGAAGCTCGTTTGCCTCGTGATCTCGAATAATATCGGGGATTTTACGTTCCAAAACCATGACATTTTAATGAGGCACGCCGGTGTAGAGGGCTCCGGAAATTTCGACCATCTGGTGTTCTTTAACGGGCCCTGACATCGCAGAACACACGGGCCTGTAGAATATTCCTTCGTCTGAAGGTTATACCTACGACAGGGATCGAATCCGCCAGCTTTGGGCCAGTAGCCGATCCCCGCTGTACCGCCAAAGGGCACTGTCCTCGCGAAACAAATTATTTTTTTTTTTTAGTAAAGAATAACACTCCCAAGTTTCTGTTCTACGGACTTGTTTAAAGCTTACGTAAAGGTCTCTAATAGAAAAATCACATTTGCCCACCGCACGTTTATTTTGCGCGAAACAGTGCACATGAAAATACACATGATTTTATCTGAAATTCACCGTGAACGCTGATGTACATCAGGCCAGTTCGCAAATAAAGACTTGGCGACGTAGATCGAATGGGCTACCCTTCATTTTCGAAAAAAAAAAAGACATCTTGTTTAGAATTGTATTGACCTTTCAGTTTAAAATTACAGCTGCCTTCGCCTAATATTTGATTCAAGATGCCCTCACGGCATGTGCGTGATGTTTCATTGCTGTTCCCTAAGCAGGGTTTGAACAGGACAGAACAGAACAGGAGGGAAAGGAAAGGCAGAGATGTTAACCAGTCTATAGAGCGGCTGGTATGCTACCCTGCACTGGAGACAGGGATAAAGGGAGCTTGAAAGATGGAGAGATGGAGAGAGAGGAGAGCACGTGCACTCAAAGTCGCACGTCGCAGTAATTCTAAGGCTAGCTGAGCCTGGCCTCAAGGCTCGACCGCCAAGATGGGCAAGCAAAGTGCGCTGCGCTATAGTGAAGGTCAAATGTGAAGGATCGATTGTACTTAGAAGTTCACACTGAGGGCTGTACCATGTGTTGAAATATTACTCAACTCGCATACCTCGACCTATTCTGAGCTTTGAGCGAGCTCGCTTGAAGTAACTGAGCTTGCGTAGACAAGTACGTTATAAAGTAATCAAGCACTGCTGGAAAAGCCAATGTAAGTGAAAGGAGCAAAAAAAAAAAAAATTCATTAACTCGAAGCTTTCGTTTAATGGACAAAAAACGTGGGTAAGTTTGGAAGCACGAAATTAGTTTATGTAGTGCCTTACTCCAAGGGTGTGTGGACGAAGCTACCACTATGTGGTTGCCTCAGTACGAATGTTTTCGTAATTGACGCAACACTGCCTAACCATAATGCAAAGTTCCGTATTAAGTCATAGAATATTTTGGAATTCGGGCCGCAAACTTCGTTACCTGCAGTTAAGTGTGAAAAACTGTGAGCACAATTAACTATTGAATGAAAGAGACGTTGAAGTGAAAAGGTTATATGGCCTCAGTTATATTACACGGCTTCAGTTATACGGCTTCAGTTATTATAACCAATTCAGTTTTCGAAACTCGCCTCTCCTCGGGAAGGACAATGAAAGCGATGAAAGTTTATTTTCTGTTGAATCAATCATACGAAAACCAGAAAGACGCCGAAAAGGAATGTAAGTGTTTTCAGTGATTTCTGAAATAACTATGTCAGTGGTTACGTTTTTATCCACATATTTTTTCTTTCACCAGTGAAATAACTGAAGATACAGTCCATAGGTGCAGTAAGGCTCTCCTTTGCCGTAGCCAAGATACGGAGCCGTTCACCCTTCACCCGACATCTTTCCAGTGAAGCTCTTACGGCTAGAGCGCAGTGAAAAGAGTAAATGGGGCAGAGGAGGCACCCCCCTGCCCTTTTTTTTGTATTCTATGGTACCGGGACAATTATTTATGGTTTAGTTTTTGGGTTGCCACCCTGTAAGGGCCCAAGAACCGGTTCCAAAACCAAAGCCCCGGGGTCACATGTTCGCTTATGACCACACGTATATTTCTGCAAACAGCAAATTGGAGAAAAGTGCAAGCAGCGTAGATTCAGTGTGACTGAGGTCTCATACTAATCGTAGACGTTGATGGTCACTAAAAAATCCTTGCGACATCACGCGTCTCAAATAAAAAATAAAGATACGCTAGAAAAAGGTGCACCGTTGATCTGAAGCGACTCGGTACCACATCTTAAGTGGGAACACTCTTTGAAAATTAAGGCATGCGCCAGTGAAAGAAAAAAACAACAACATCACAGCCATTGTCTCTACGTAACTCCAGTAAATCAGCAATTAAATGCGAATGCTCAGTGCGGGACATTTGGGAAAAAAGAACAACTCGCCTCGGATTGTCGTTCGATGGCGACCGGACGGCTTTGCTGGCTTCTTCTTTTAAAGACACGCGCGCCGCGCACCCATCTCGTGCATTCCGTAGCTTCCCGTGGGGGAACTGGTAAACGTGAACGTAATAAAAAGTATTTTAAAAAATGGGCATTATTTTACATCGCCTGTAGAAAACACTTTAATTGGCTCTATAGCTTACTTTTTGTAGAGTAGCACGAACAACTAAAAAAAAAAAAACTTACCACTGTGAGAAATTGGCCATGAATCGGGTGGTCAAGATAACTAGGGACAAGAAAATACGCATTTCTCTTTATAATAATAATAATAATAATAATAATAATAATAATAATAATAATAATAATAATAATAATAATAATAATAATAATAATAATATAATAATACACTAAGCAACAGGTGCCAGTTTATGCGCACACCACACGTGGAGCGCTTCAAGCGGTCAGGACATCAGCGCCACCACTCGTCTAATCCGCCCAAGCGACAACGCTTTGAAGCTTGCCCCAAAATTGCATTTCGATCGACGATGCTAATTGCCTAAATTTCTTTCGGCACGATGCAGCTTTAGTGAACTGGACAGGACGACGCCTCTTCAAGTAGGCTGACGAGCACCATGTGTAGCAAAGCAAGGCGAGGTTCTAAAAACGTCAGCTATTTTGATTCAACGCAAGTTGACGATGGCGGCATGGTATGCGTGCCCGTCAGGGGTAGTGCATCTGGGAACACCGCGTACCACATCGCACCTTCAAAATTTTAAGGTGGCCACTGTAGTGTTGTGGCGTCATCCTTGAGAAGGATGCGCACTGTGTGTCGTGTGGTCGTGTGCTTTATATATAGATGTCGTTGCAGACCGGCACACGTGATTGTCAGAAGCCAATTACGTGTGTACGCGTTGCTTCGTGGTGTGGTTTTAATAAACGGCTGCTAGTCAGTCGAGTCGGCTACCATAGTGCTTCATAAAGAAAGTGATAGAATACCAATGAAGAAGGGTGTAAGGCAGGGGGACACAATCTCTCCAATGCTATTTACCGCATACTTACAGGAGGTTTTCAGAAGCCTAGAATGGGAACAGTTAGGGATAAGAGTTAATGGAGAGCACCTTAGTAACCTGAGCTTCGCCAACGACATTGCATTACTGAGTAACTCAGGCGACGAATTGCAACTCATGATTGCGGAGTTAGACAAGGAGAGCAGAAAGGTGGGTCTTAAAATTACTCCGCAGAAAACGAAAGTAATGTACAACAACCTCGGAAGAGAGCAGCGCTTGGAGATAGGTAATAGTGCACTTCAAGTTGTAAAAGACTATGTCTACTTAAGGCAGGTAATAACCGCGGAGCCGAACCACGAGGTTGAAGTAACTAGAAAAATTAGAATGGGGTGGAGCACATTTGGCAAGCACTCTCAAATTATGACAGGTAGATTGCCACTATCCCTCAAGAGGAAGGTATATAACAGCTGTATCTTGCCGGTACTTAGCTACGGAGCAGAAACCTGGAGACTTACAAAGAGGGTTCAGCTTAAATTGAAGACGACGCAGTGAGCAATGAAAAAAAAAATGTTAGGTGTAACCTTAAGAGACAAGAAGAGAGCAGAGTGGATTAGGGGACAAATGGGAGTTAAGGATATCATAGCTGAAATCAAGAAGAGAAAATGGACATGGGGCGGGCATGTAGCGCGTAGACAGGATAACCACTGGTCATTAAGGGTAACTAACTGGATTCCCAGAGAAGGCAAGCGGGTTAGGGGGAGACAGAAGATTAGGTGGGCAGATGAGATTAAGAAGTTTGCGGGTGTATATTGGCAGCAGCAAGCACAGGACCAGGTTAACTGGCGGAACATGGGAGAGGCCTTTGTCCTGCAGTAGACGTAGTCAGGCTGATGATGATGATGATGATGATGATGAGTTAGTCGAGTCCTTGTTGAACTTCCGTGGAGTTCGTTTGACACGCTCGTGTTGGTTGGCCGATTGCCGGCGCGCGCCAAGTTCCGCGTCCAGTCGTCGGGCCCAGTGCCGTCGTTCGGACGCCACCCGCCGACACAACACCCACCTGCTGCAACCTGCGTCTGGAACGACCCTCGCCGGTGACGTGTGGCACGACAGTATCTTGCCAGCATACCGCCTGCAGTAGGTGTCCCTGGAAGATGCTAGGCATGGTGGAGTGGCATCTAATGTTACGCTTCATTTTACGCGAACCCCTTTGGGCCCAAATGCAAGACCACGGACAGCGTGCGAACGCTCCCGGGCCTGTAAACGTATCGGGGGTAGAGGCGCAGAAGTGTATGCCCAGACGCCGAGGAACCTGAGACGCTGCTGCCGCGAAGGTCGTCATGTGCTGTGCGCGAGAACGCGGTGAGCTCATGGCTCATTCGCACCTGGCTCTTGAGTGTGGGAACGCCGGTGGTGTGATCCGTGGCGCGATCAGTCGCGTGATCGGTGGCGTGACCAGTGGCGTGGTAGGTGGTGCGAACACAAGGTGTTCCATATTTGGTCATGTCTGGAGGCGCCTGACGTCACACAAGCGTCTGGAACCCTTTAAAAACGCGCAGGGAGAGACTGGGTGAAGCAGTCTGGATTGAGACTCTGCCGGAGCTCTGCTCCTCGGCTTCTTACCTTTGTTTGTAAACTTGAATGTCCACTTTGGTCTAACTATGTAGTATTAAACTCTTTTGATTTGCTGTTCTGCGCCGTCTCGCCGGTACTTCCCTTCTCGTCGGTCCTGATGCAAGTTGCGAGCACAACCTGCTGACGGCGGCGGTCAAGAGACACCCTTAACACTAAGAAGAAGCCTGAAATGGTGCTCGTTGTGCCAACAGGCAGGAACATAGTTTTAGGGGAAGTGAGACCCTAATCGCAACGAAAGTCTTAAAAATCGGCCTGCCAGAAGGCGAAGATTGCAAAGCGCCGCAGTTGGTACGACACGGTGGTGGAGGCGGACACCAGCTACCCAGAGGACGCATACGAACCCGAGGCGTGCCCCAACTGTATCGAGGAGATGGTTCAGCGCAGGCGTTCGCCTGACCATGAGCCGGCCGTAGTCGCGTCTCCCGTCTACGTGGCAAAAGTGGCCAAGTGGGCTCGGCGGCTGTGCCACGGGACAGTTGCCTAAGCTGCTACTTTTCAATATGCAGGTCGTCGCCATCGCAGTGATCTGCGCAGCTCTGCCCGCTACCATACTGGCCATCCCGCACGCACCCTCAACCTGTGTGGAACCATGCATTGGCCGTATATCGGTTGCTTTCTCATATGATAAGCTAACCGCCCCTGACACGGATTTCGTCACCATTGCCACCTGGGATACGCCTATGTCAGCAACATCAATCGCCTCTTCGGCTATAAAGGAGCGACACCCTCGCGCGCCCAACTGTGGGCTCGGCGGCTGTGCCACGGGACAGTTGCCTAAGCTGCTACTTTTCAATATGCAGGTCGTCGCCATCGCAGTGATCTGCGCAGCTCTGCCCGCTACCATACTGGCCATCCCGCACGCACCCTCAACCTGTGTGGAACCATGCATTGGCCGTATATCGGTTGCTTTCTCATATGATAAGCTAACCGCCCCTGACACGGATTTCGTCACCATTGCCACCTGGGATACGCCTATGTCAGCAACATCAATCGCCTCTTCGGCTATAAAGGAGCGACACCCTCGCGCGCCCAACTGTGGGCTCGGCGGCTGTGCCACGGGACAGTTGCCTAAGCTGCTACTTTTCAATATGCAGGTTAGTCGACCTTTGAGTCTTTACGCTAAGAAATCGAGCGACTTGTTTCTGGTACTGCTGCCGAGCCCCCAGTGTTTGTTATCCATTATTGTAGAGTGTATTGATGTCTTGTGTGCCTTGCTATTGCTGTCAGGCGACATTGAAACTAACCCCGGCCCTGAATCTAACGCTATACTAACCGAATTGCAAAAACTGTCAGCAGGGCAATCACAGCTAATAATCGAACTGAAGGGTTTAAAAACCGAACTCGCCGAAAATAGCAGCATAATAGGTGAACTTAGCAGAAGAATCAATATCGTTGAGAGCCACTGTCAACGCATCGAATCCCTGCAACAACAGGTCAAAACCATCACGTCTACTACTGCCGAGACAACCCAGGCAATCTCAGACATAGAAGCACGAATTGATGACGCCGAAAATCGAGCCCGCCGTAACAATCTAATCTTTTTCGGTATTCCCGACCCTGGCGCATCGGAATCTGCCTCTCAGATAGAAGAAAAAATCATTCGCCTTTGCTCAGATCAGTTGGGCTTAACTGTGAATCCCGACGAGATTGAGCGTGCGCATCGTCTCGGCCGCCACAATACTAGCCGTAACCGCCCCATAATTGCGAAATTTGCTCGCTTTAAAACCAAAGAAAAAATCCTGTCTAATGGACCCAAGCTCAAAGGCAGTAACTGCAGAATTGGTCAGGACTACTCCCGCGCAGTACAAAATGCCCGGAAACACCTTCTTGCTTTTGCAAAGGCGAAAGCTGTCGCCTTTTCTCTACGTTATAAAACCCTGTACATAGGATCCGCGAAGTATATGTACGATGACGCAGCGAAGCGTGTTAAAGAAATCAGATAGCAATTGCCACATCATCGACAGCCATCACAGCGCTCGATAACAATACGCCCAAGCACTGCTATTTCAGCAATTTTTACTAACATACGGAGTTTTCTTCCTAAACGCGACGTCGTATGTAATATTGCCCTATCGTCTGGGTGTAATTTGTTAATACTTACCGAAACATGGCTTACTGCCGACGTATCCGACGCAGAGGTTATGGATGACCTACCGGGCTTTCATGTTTTCCGCAGAGATCGTCAGAACTCCAGAGGTGGTGGTGTGCTCATTGCCGTCAGTGATACCTTGCCTTGCACCATTGTTCATACACCCAGTGATCTTGAAATACTATGGCTACTTTTCCGTTCCTCTCCTCATACTATTTTACTTGGTGTATGCTACCGCCCGCCGCGAACAGATACGGACTTCATTGAAAAGCTTAGCTGCGTCTTGAACACACTCACGACAAAATACATTAACGCTCAGATATTGTTCTTTGGGGATTTTAACTTCCCTCACATAAATTGGAATAGTAATCCGCCTTCATCACTGAGTAAAGCCGATAATGATTTCCTCGATCTCTGTTTTAACTTCAATTTAAGTCAGCTTGTGTTACAACCAACACGCGTTGCGCATGGCTCAGCCAGCGTTTTAGATCTTATACTAACCAATAGTCCAAATAGCCTATCTTCGATGTCTTACCTCCGCGAAATTAGCGACCATAAAATAATCCACGCAGTCTTTAGCTTTACCTTGCTGAAACGAGAATCGTGGAGAAAAACAATACGCTTATACGGCAAAGGCAACTACGATGCCATAAACAACGAACTTATCGCTTTTTACTCGACTTTTTGCACCGATTTTCACAGCCGCACACTTCATGCAAACTGGTCGATCTTCCAACAAAAGTTTACTGAGCTCGCCACCAACCACATTCCAGTTACTTCAGTACAAGCTAACCGCAATAAACCTTGGTTCAATAGGAAATTAAAATCTCTAGAAAATAAGAAAAAACGACTTTACCGATTCGCAAGGCAACAAAATTGTACCACGGCCTGGGAAAAATATTACGTAGCTGAGAAAGTTTACTTATCAGCTATACGTCATGACAAGCACTCCTTCTTTTATGACACCTTACCCTGTGTACTCAAGAGCAACCCCCAAAAATTCTGGCAAATTTTAAACCCCAAGCCACCTACTGCTGTTGTCATTACCGACCATAACGACATTGCGATTCCTGAGCAAGAATGTGCTGATGTATTTAACCTTGCTTTTTCATCTGTATTTACCACTGAACCTGATGCTCCTCTACCAGTGCCCCCACCCCCTGTCCAAGGTGTCATGCCAGCAATCCAATTCAGCGAACAAGGAATAATTGCCATAATTGAAAATCTTAAACTTTCATCAACTTCAGGGGCAGATGAGATCAATACAAAACTGTTAAAAAACACCAAGAACATCTGCGCAGCCTATTTCAGAATTATTTTCGAGCAGTCCTTATCATCCGGTAGCATCCCCCTCTCCTGGAAGGAAGGGCAGGTCGTTCCAATCTTCAAATCAGGCAACAAAAGCTCTCCTCTCAACTATCGACCGATTTCCCTGACTAGTGTACCTTGCAAGATAATGGAGCACGTCATCTACACGCAAATCATGCAGTTTCTTGACAGGCACAACTTTTTTCACGCATCTCAACATGGATTCCGGAAGGGCCTCTCATGCGAAACGCAACTTGCCATGTTCATCCACGACTTGCACATCAACCTCGATACTAACAAACAGGTAGATGCCATTTTTCTTGATTACGCAAAAGCTTTTGATAAGTTACCCCACCAACGGCTGTTACTTAAGCTCTCTCAGTTGAATCTACATCCCGATATTTTCCATTGGATTAAGGAATTTCTTGCTAGCCGATCACAGTCAGTACATATCAATAATTCCATTTCCGCCCCCCTCCCTGTAACATCTGGCGTTCCACAGGGCAGCGTCTTAGGCCCTCTGCTGTTTCTTATTTATATAAATGACCTCCCTCTACATGTTTCCTCTCAAATCCGAATGTTCGCAGATGATTGTGTCATCTACCGTACAATCACTAACAATGCTGACCACGCTATTCTGCAAGAAGATCTCAACAATATTCAGGATTGGTGCAACGAATGGCTGATGACCCTCAACCCCAACAAATGCAAGGTAGTATGTTTCACTCGCCGTCTTCAGCCATTATACACACCTTACACTATTGCTAACACTTCATTAGAAACAGTGGATACATTCAAGTACCTTGGTGTCACACTCTCACATGACTTAAACTGGTCGCCTCATATAGCATGCATTACCGCCTCGGCCAACCAAACCCTGGGATTTCTAAAACGCCACCTGCGTCATGCACCACGCCACGTAAAACTTCTAGCATATAAGTCACTCGTACTCCCGAAACTAGAATACGCTTCTCCCATATGGTCACCTCATCAAGCATGTCTTATCAATACCCTAGAAGCCATTCAGAATCGCGCAGTAAGGTTTATTCAATCGTCATATTCCTATAACATCAGCATATCATTACTAAAAACACAGTCTGGTTTAAACACGCTATCATACCGGCGCCGCATTG